ACAGGACACAGCGGCACTGTTCCACAGGACACAGCGGCACAGGGACACAGCAGCACAGCTCCAGGAGGATGTCTGCAAGTCGCTCCAGTGCGGGCAAGCAGGTGACACGGGGCCGGAGAGTCGAGGAACGGGCCGAGCAGAAGACACGGGGCCGCAGGAGCCGGGCGTGCACTAGGAGCTGCGAGCCGCAAGGGCCGGGCAGGCGTGTCGGGGCCGGGCTGGCGCTAGGAGGGGCCGAGCAGGTGCTAGGAGGAGCCGGGTGGGCGCTAGGTGGGGCCAGGCAGCGCTAGGAGGGGCCGGGCGGGCGCTAGGAGGGGCCGGGCAGGCGCTAGGACGGGGCCAGGAGGGTGCTCTGGGACGTGCGGGCGCAACTGGCTGGGCAGGCGCTAGAAGGGGCCACGCGGGCGCGAGGAGGGGCCGGGCGGGCGCTAGGAGGGGCCAGGCAAGCGCTAGGAGGGGCCGTGCGGGCGCTAGGAGGAACTGGGCACGCGCGAGGGGCCAGGGTGGCGCGACGGGGCCAGCTGGGTGCTACAGGCCGGGCGGGCGCTATGGGCCAGGGTGGCGTGGAGGGGCCGGGCGGGCGCTAGGGGCCAGGGTGGTGCGGAGGGGCCGGGCGGGCGCTAGGGGCCAGGCGGGTGCTACGGGCCGGGCGGGCGCTAGGGGCCAGGGTGGCGCGCTGGGACTTGGCGGGCGCGACGGGGCCAGGCAGGTGCGACGGGCCGGGCGGGCGCTTAAGGGCCGGGTGGGCGCGAGGGCTAGGTAGGGGGGGGAGGGAGGCTAGGGCGCGGGCGGAAGCGGGCGGGTGGACCTAACCTACTTGTGATACCATGTTAGAATGCAAGAATGAATTACTAGTGTGAGAAACCTAGAACATATACCTGTTGGGGTTGTACTCACTAGAAGCACACACCTAGGCTAGCCTATAACTTCTACGTACAGCATATGTATAATTTGACAGATACTACGCGCTAGAAGCCGTCCGCAACCGAAGACGCCGCCAGCACTGGATATGTCGAAACAGTATTGGACGAAATCGCACGTGAAGTGTCGTACAAGCGCCGTGATGATGAAGCTGACGCAGCAACAAATGCCACCGCACATGCCACGGCAGGTGAAGCAGCTGTGACAACGGCCACCGTACGTGTCACGGTAGCTGCAGCAGCTGCAACAACGATCGCCGCCCGCTCTGAAGCAACAGCAACAGTTTCCGCAGTAGTCGCAGCCATACCAACTATTCAAGTGGCCAAGATAAAGTCGCCGATGCCGCCCCCTTTTAACCCCATGGACAAAAACACCACCATGACAGGCTGGCTTTTCGCGAAGACAAGAGCAAACAAGGGCGGCACTACTAGTTTGGCCGCTGATGATCTTTAGGCGCAAGCGCCTTTGTAATGATATCAACTTTGTTGGCACCAGAGGCCAAGTGAACTTCGCGGGCCTGGCGTCGCTGCTGCAGCTCGCGTAGGAGGAAGTACCGCAGCTGGATGTGCTTCGCTCTGCCCTCCTGTCGAGGCTCTTGACACAAGAGGATCATGGCCCTGTTGTCAGCATACAGGACCCGGGCAGAGCTAGGCCGCTCACCTAAGTCCGTAAGCAGGAACGTCGGTAAGCGGAGCTCCTGTGCCACCATGGCAACAGCGTAGATCTCATCCGCGCAGCTAGACTGTGCAACAGACGATGAGCGGGTGGACCTCCATGAGACAGCGCATGCACCAAGGCTAAAGCAGTAGCCCTGAGAGGACCTGAGCGTCTCAGCGTCGTCCGCCCACAAAGCGTCTGTGTGCCCTGTCAGGACCACTGGCCTACGTCCTCCTACCACTAGCCCCATGCCTGATGTACTTGCTAGATAACTCAAAACCCTCTTAGCTGCCGACCAAAGCTGTGGTCGTATCGCCACGAAGCGAGCCACGATGCTGAGAGGGTATGCGAGATCTGGACGAGTGCAAGTCATCAGGTATATAAGGCAACCCACCAGCTCTGCGTACGGACCACTAGGCACTACTGACTCCACAGGAACAGGAGCCGAGAGCCTAAGATTTAGTAGCAGATGTGTGGGCTACGCGGAGGAGAACTGAAGACCGAACCTCTGAAGGTCCTGGCGCACCAAGTGTGACTGTATGAGAGTGATGGTGTGGGCTGCTCTATCCCTAGAGATCTGCAGGCCAAGGTAGCAGCGCAGCCCTCCTAGGTCAGTGCAGGTGTGTCTCCTCAACAGCTCAGCCTTCACCGAGGCCAGAGCGTCTATGTCTGCAGTAGCAAAGACGAGGTCGTCTACGTAGAGAAGGATATAGAACGGGGTCTGTCCTAAATGAACGAAGAGCGAAGGGTCTACAGAGGACAGGAAGAAATGCAGGTTAGCTAACGTAGTACACATCGTGTCGTGCCACTCACGAGGCGCCTGCCACAGGCCGTAAACTGGGCGCCGGAGGAGCCACTCGGTCCTAGGGGTGAAGGTGCTGGCGAACCCCGGCTGACGGCACAGGTAGACCTGCTCATGCAGACTGCCCTGAATAAACATTGTGGAGAAGTCCAGAGAGTGCAGCTCGTAGTCATGCTGAACTGCTATGTGTAGTAGCTCTCGAAAAGTGGTCATCTTCGGGGTCGGGGTGAAGGTCTGAAAGAAGTCAACACCCTCGCGCTGACTGAAGCCTCTAGCAATGTATTGTAGCGCGCCATGAACACTGGTGGCTCTCCAGGAGGGCGCTTCACCTTGAAGAGCCACCGGCCATTGACTACATTCACCCTGGGTGGGGGAACTGCGTTGACGTAGGTGCCGATGGATCTCCAAGATGCCATCTTCTCGTCCATGGCAGCTATCCACTGAGAGGCCTAGGGTCCCGAGGTCGCCTCAGCGTAAGTGCAAGGGGGCGGGATGTCAAAGGCGTCTGGGTCACCCTCAGGGACTAAAAGCATGGAGCAGAGATAAGGCGCGGCCTCGGACAGGAAAGCAAGCTCATACTGCCGGTCCTCCAGGACATCACTGCCGAGGGTAGGAGCACCTTCGACGAACGGAGGACGGGCAGGGTCAGAGACCAGAGCGGTGGCATAGTGAAGGCGGAGGGTAGAGACAAAGTCAGCGACGGCAGCGATAAGAGCGTCAAGTCTCGAGACAGGAACAGACGGGTCGGTAACGAGGGAGGCAAGGAATCAAGGGACAAGAGGACTAGTGGGTCAGACAGAGGAGGCGGAGCGACAACAAATGACGACGGAGGAGGCGACGGGAGGAGGGGCAGACGAGACGCCTAGGAACGAAGCAACATAGGGTGAGAGCGCAGAACTGGAGAGACACGACGGACACGAGAGGGACGACGAGACCAGAAGTGGGACGGAGGCGTCGGGTCAGGAGGCACAGGGGGAGACACTGGAGGAGAACGAGGGGGAAACGAGCCAGGAACGAGTCTGGCAGCGGAAACAAGGGGCCGTAGATAGGCAAGGGAGGCAGCTGCAGGGGAGGCGTAGGCGGGTGGTCAGGGGAGGGAAGACCAAGGAGGCGAAGGGCGGACACCGACGGCAGCAGCTGCTGCTGCTACTGCTGCTGCTCTACGCCGACACCAGAACCTCCAGCTGCACCACGGCTGCCTCCGAGACTCTCCACGCCAACACCCCCAGAACAAGAACCCTCTCCAGCATCGGTGCCACTCCCAAGCCTGCCGGGTCAAGCCACGACAGTAACCCCAAGACTAGCACCCTACTCAATGCTCGCACCCCCAGAGCTGGCGAACCCCAGCGGCGGCTGCTGCTATGGTGGCGGCGACTGCAGCTGCGATGGCGACGACGGCTGCTGCTGTGGCGATGGCGGGGGAGGAGACACCGGGGCGGAGACAGGCGTCGAGAACAGCGCTGTGGGGCCACCAGAGTCAGCCAACTCCTCGACCGAGACAACCGATGGGAGGGGAGTGACGTGAGACACACCAGACGGGGCAGGACAGGGAGGGAGAGGAGCAGGGGCTACTGGGGGAGTGGGAACTAGAAACAGGGGCGGGGAAAGTGGGAGACCTTGGTGGGGAAAGTGCTGGTAAAAGGAGACCGACTCATGAAAAGTGAGCGTCCGACACGAGCAAGCCGCAGCGACCTTGGTCGACGCAGGCACCTGGGGGGACGCCCTTACCAGGGGGGACGCAGTGTCAAGCGTAAACAGGCCAGACACAGGGTCCCGGGGGAACGTGGTCAGAGGATCACCAGTGGCGGCCTCGGTACAGACCGTGTACCGCTCATGTCTGGGGAACGTAGTGGTGACGCCGAGGTCCTGAAGGCAGCCGACACCAACAAGTTCCTGGAGAACAAGGGGATGTGCAGGCCTGTAAGAAAACCCGAGAGGACCACTTGACAGGGAAGGGTGGTGGAGCTACGGGCAACTACCAGACCTGAGGAGGGGTCAGCAAGCGTTACAGTAGGGGTGGCAAGAGGCGTGAGCGCAGTGTGGTCGCGGAAGAAGCAGGCAGACGCTCCAGAGTCGAGCGTGAAGGAGAGAAAAGTCGTAGTGTCTGCTGGCAGAGTGGCTAGCGTGGAGCATAGGCTAAACAAGGCAGGGAGTCCTACGCCTGGCGTAGCAGGGGAACCTAGACTACATACAGCGGTCACACGTACGCCAGGCAACACTGGGTAATAGGGTCCAGTCACACTAGAGTCATAAGCATACATGGCATACAAAGCAGACCTAATCTGATCCATGTCCATCTCAAAGACAGGCACACGACGACGCACTAGGCTGTACCAGTCGGGGGGGTCCGTGGTGGGGCCGAAGCAGAGACGGAAGAGGTCGTCGAGGCGGCGGTAGCAGCGTGCGGCAGTGTGACCGGGGCGGTCATAGACGGTGCCGCGGCGGGGGCGGGACAGAAGCTGGTACTAGCAGGTGATCACACTGGAGCCGCCACCCGACACTGAGCTGCGCTTCCCACCACCACCAACACCGCCAGTCCACCACGGCGGCGGGGGCCCCCACGGCGACTGCTGCTGCTGCTGCGACGGCTGTTGCTGCTGTTGCTGCTACTCCGGGGCACCAGCCCTAGTCCCCTCGTCTGCACCACCGTCCCCTCCACCACCTCCGCCACCTCCGCCACCCCCGCCTCCCCTGCCACCCCTCCCGCTGCCACGCCCCCCTCGGGCTTGGCATCCCCTACCCTGAAGAGACTGCGCTGAGGCCGCCGCAGCGGACCAGCAGCAGGGGCCGTCTCAGCAACAACGGCAAAGACGTCAGAGTAAGTGCATTGGGAGGGAGCACAGCCCTGGAAGATAGGGACCGCCGCAGTACTGCTCGACAGAGCGATAGTGCAACGGCTGGTCTCTATTGCGGTCAGGGTAGTGACTAAGTCAGTGAGGGTGAGGTCAGCAGGGTGGAGGGCAAGGAAGTGGTAACAGGCAGTGGCTAGGCGGTTAGGAAGCGTGTGGCAAGGAAGTAGAGGGTAGCCCCGAGGGGGGGAGGCAGTACAAGGAGCTGAGCCTCAGTGCTAGCAGCGTGGTAGCTAGCCTCTAGTGTGCGCAGGTGAATGGCGAGATCAGCGATCGTGGGAAAATACGCAAGGTCAGGGAAGGGCAGGGGGAGGAGGAAAAGACCGGCAGAGGCGGAGGAGGGAGTGGAATAGCGTGCAATAACATCATCTAAGTACGCCTAAGCAGTCTCTAGGGCCTGGTAGCGGGGGCGCTCAGACAGGGGGAGGGCGCGAGTGATAGCAAGTTGCTCAACTGCATCACGTGACTCCCAGACGGAGCTAGCGAGCTCAGCAGCTGCAAAGACTTCACGCTTAGCGGGCATGGGGGCGTCAGAGAGGGCAGCAGGTGTGTCGGGGCAGGGGATCTTACCGTCGACGTGAACAGCCACAGACTGGCCATCCTAGCGCTGTCCCCTCAGCGAGCGGCGGAGGTCGGCAAGCCACGCCTCAAAGTCAATCGCCCGACCCACCGTGTCCAGGCGAAGCACAACGTCCGCCATCGCCACGGCTGCAGCAGCTGACCGTCGCTAGGGGAGGAGGAGGAGAGGGCGGGGGAGAGCAGCGGTGGAGACGGCCGGCGGGAGCGCTGGCACAGAAGGGGGAACCAGGGCCGGCAGGTCGGGGCGGTACAGCAGCACGGCGTCTCAGCGAGACGGCAACTTGGCGACGCGGCGGCTTGGCTACTCGGCGGCTTGGCGGCTTGGTTACTTGGCGGCTCAGCGGCTTGGCGGATCGGTGGCGCGACGACGCGGCGCGGCACGGCTAGGCGGCGCAGCGGCTCGGCGATGTGGCGCAGCGGCTTGGTAGTGCGGCGCGGCGCGGTATGGTAGGGCCGGCACAGCATGACGGGGCATGCGCGGAGTGATGGGTCCGACGCAGCGTGACGGGGCCGGTGCGGAGTGTCGGGGTCGGCGCAGTGTGACAAGGCTGGTGTGGCGTGACGGGGCCGCCGCGGGGTGACGGGATCGGTGTGGCGTGACGGGGCCGGCGCGGCGGGACGGGGCCAGCGCATTCTAGCGGGTCTGGCACGGCGTGACGGGGCCGGCGCGGAGTGACGGGGCCGGCGCGGCGTGACGGGCCCCGCGCGGCGTGACGGGGCTGGCTCAGCTTGACGGGGCCGGCGCGGTCTAGCGAGGCCGGCGCGGCGTGACGGGGCCAACACGGCGTGACGAGGCGCGAAATAGGGCAAGGTCTAAGGCTAGGGCTAGGGCTAGGGGCGGAAGCGTAGGCGAGGAGGGGGACCTAACCTAGTGTGATACCATGTTAGAATAATGCAATGAACTAGATTGTGCCATACAGGGAGGTTTTGTGCTATGGTGATGTACCCTCTAGAAGCATGCACCTATCTAGCCCATAACATATAGAAATATATGTTGACGCACTGGATTGGTGGCGATCGACGCTAAGTTAGACGGGGACTTCGCCAAGGAACACTCGGGGGTTTTTCGGGAGTTCGGAATCTGCTATCCGAGACGCAACGTCACTTTTCGGAGCGACCGCGATTCGCACGTCGAAAGCGTGGAGTACAGCTCTACGTGAACGATTCGAGCCCATATTCACCTCGGACAACGCACGCACAAAGCTGGACACCTGGCGCCAATTGACCTCTGTCCAGGATTACGCGTCATCATTTCAGGCACTGTGCGGCCAAATTACCGACATATCAGAAGCTGAGAAAAGAACTGGTTCATCGTGTGGCTCAAATCCGACGTTCGCTACGAAGTGAGGATGCGACGCCCAGCGACGTTCGAAGAAGCAGTGGTGATCGCCTACTTGTACAACACCAATAAAAAGTATGAGAGATCGGGAGACAACCGAAGGAATCAACGGACGACGATCAACCGGCCGACATAAACAAGCTTTGCGCAGCGGTCCCCAAATCTGATTCTTCAGTTCCCATATTATTTTCCGGATGACCTTCCATCTGGCCTACCACCAGAACGCCCTCAGGACCATCGGATCGAACTCGAACCTGGCGCGCAACCAAGTGTCTGGACACAGTGGCGACCGACAACCCGAGCTCCATGAATTACGGGACCAGCTGGACTATTTGCTGGCCAAAGGGTTTGTTATACCGAGTACGTCCTCGTTCGCTGCCCCGATCCTGTTCACACCCAAGAAAGATGGGGGCCTCCGAATGTGCATCGAATATCATGCCCTAAATCGGGTTATGATAAAATCTCGCTGCCCTATCTCACGTGCGAAAGAACTGATTGACCAGCTGCGAGGCACTCGCTATTTCTCGAAGATCGACCTTCGTGGCGGTTACCACCAGATTCGAGTCTTCACCGACGATTGCCACAAGACCGCGTTTCGTAATCGCTACGGTTGCTACGAATACACTGTCATGCCGTTTGCGTTAACGAATGCCCCCTCGACGTTCCAGCTGACGATGAACGGGGTATTCCGAGATCTACTTGATAAATGTGTGAATCAATTGTCTGGACGATATCCCGATTTACAGCACGACACGGGAGCAGCACTTAAAGGACCTGGAAGAGGTTTTTCAGCGCCTGCAGCAGAATCGTCTCATCACCAAAGGCTCTAAGTGCGAGTTTTTAAATCCCGAACTAAAGTTTTTGGGGCACGTCATTTTGACGGAGGGGGTGAAAATTGACCCCCCGAAAATTGGGGCAATTCAGAAATGGAAGCCGCCGACCAACCTCCGGGAGCTGCAATCGTTTTTGGGGTTCGTCAATTATGTACGCCGATTTAACTCCAACATAACAAAGTTAACTGGGACACTAACTGGTCTATTTCATAAGGGCGCTGATTATCAGTGGGGGGAGAAGCAGCAAGCTACGTTTGACAGATAAAATAATAATAATAATAATAAAAAAATCGCACCGGTACTTTGGATTGCTGACCTTGAACGACCACTCGAGGTCGTGACAGACGCAAGTGACATCACAATCGGAGCAATTCTGCTACAGAATTTCGGCGACGACCTTCAGCCAATCGCGTACGATTCGTGAAAGTTACAATCAGCCGAGCGAAATTATCTCGTACACGACAAAGAAACGATCGTGCATGCATTCAAGATCTGGCGATGCGAGAGCCGACGTGACTGTGTGAACAGATCACAAATCCCTACAGTACCTGCGTGCGCAGCTGAATCTCAACCCGCGGTAGATTCGCTGGTTGGATTATCTGGAGTCGAACTTCACGTACCGAATTACGTGCAAGATGGGTGCCAAAAACATTGCTGACGCCCTCTCCAAACCATCTGCCCGAACCGCCGCTGTACTAATTGCCTAGACAAACGCGTTGCTGAGTGGAATATTTACCCACGGATATTTCGACCGATCCCTTTTTCATAAACAACGGCCACCAGCAGGTCACGATTGAGCGGGAAGCCTATTACGTAAAGTGGGAACGTAACGAATTTGGGTTCCAAGTTACCGTCTACTTTGTGAATTACTCATTCAAAAAGTCCACGATTCGAACTTATCGGGACATTTCGGGGTTGACAAGACTCTGAAGGCACTGCAATGGTTTTATTACTGGCCAGACATCATTTTGGAGATGCAAAATTATGAGGGCGCGTGTACAGCCTGTCAGACGATGAAATCATCACGCCAGTGGTCAGTAGGACTGTTGCAGCCCCTCGAGCCACCCCAGCGACCTTGGCAACACGTGACAATGGATTTTGTCACCGGCCTACTAGCCGGACCAAGTGTTAACAACGAGGCTCTTGTCGTTGTCGACCGCCTCACGAAAATGGCTAAGTTCGTGCCATATCGCACGACGATCACAGCCGAAGAAACCGCGCGTCTGTTCAATCTCAGTTGTCGTTCGCCTGCATGGTATCCCTACGGCGATCATCAGCGACAGGGACCCGAAACTCACCTTGCGCTTCTGGCAAGACACGTGGAACCGATATGGCACCCGCCTACAGTTCTCATCTGCCTATCATCCGCAAACCGACGGTCAAACAGGACACATGAATCAGACCATGGAACAGTTGATTCGCACGAACTGCCTGGACATCAACAAATGGGAAGATTTCCTACCCATGCTCGAGTTTTACTACAACAATGCACCCTCCGCCACGACCAATCATTCGCCCTTTTTCCTGAATTACGGGATGGATCGAACAGTACCCATTTCCATCAACGTCGAAAGCCAAGTCCCCCGCTCATAGCAGTTCGTCGAAGACTTTCAGACTGCCCGCACGAAAGCCATCGAATTCATCCGAAAAGCCGATGGCACTGCCCGCCAATACGTCGACCGCCACAAACGAGATATTAGCTTGACTGCAAAAAAAATCGTCCTCCTTGACATAAAAGACCTTCGCCTGCAGATACCGTAAAAAATTCGACCCCGCTACTGTGGACCTTCTAAGATCCTCAAGATGATAACCCCAGTGACCGCCTGACTCCGCCTGCCCGATGATTGGAAAATTCATAATTCCTTCCACATCAGTCTCCTTTGTCCTTTTGTTGCCGACACATCAAACGTCGCCCGACAGCCGATCATCCAGGATCTACGGCCAGCCGAGGAGATGCTCATCAAACCAGCAAACATCCTGAGCCATCGCATAAGAATCAATGGCCAGGAACGACACGTTGATTTTCTAATTCGATGGACTCATCGTACCAGCGAGGATGACACGTGGGTTCCTTCGGTACAAGTACAATTGCCTACTATACTCCGGGATTATTTAGACCACCTTCGTTAGAGGGGGGTAGTGTAAGGAATTTTCCATTCCTTAGTGCGCCACACTGCTAACGCATACCCCAACCCCACACGGCACCGACACCTGCCCTAGCTTCGGCCCGAACACGGCACCGAACCATTCCGCGTTACTCCGAAGCGCTCCGCGTCCTCGGATGCCTGCTTTGAACTTGTTCGATCATACAGTTAGGACTGCTCTGGTGTTCCTATATCTTGCTCTGTCATTCCATTGTATGAAAGGAAAATCCCTTTTCCTTATCGAGCCTCGGTAACATCGAGTACTGAGGTTCGGTCCGACAATTCAGGTTCGAACTACGTTCGAGACCCCAAGCCTTCACACGGCGTCGCGTCCGACACTTTCGAGTTCCGAGGCGCCCCAAACCACCTCGCGAGTGTTTCGTGGCTTTCCTCGAGGCTCTCTTGCTAGGCTAGCTGTGCTTGTATTTAGCCCAGTGCTTCATTTGTAATCGACACACTTTAATTACGACCTCACTATTGCATTACTCAACTCCTATCCGGAGATTATCATAACAGCAGGTATCAGAGCTACATTCCTGCCCATTTAGGCTTCCGTAGTGAGGTAGTTTTTAGAGGGACCTCGCACGTTAGGAGATAGGAGCTGTCCAGCGGTCGTGCAGGAACTTCAGTTCCACGGACTTTGTCGTGTGTGCTCCACATCTCTAACGCTGCAGGTGCCCGTAGTGTCTTTAGTGGTGTTAGCTAGTTAGGGTAATTCATGGTCAATAGCCCTCCTCGCCGTAGTACTAGAAATATGACTCCCGAACAAATAGCTGAGTTGTCAGAGGCGGCAGCAAGTGCATGTGTGCTGACGACGAAGGTCGGCGAGATGATGGCAAAGATGGAGGCCATGGTCCTCGAGCTCACTGCGTTGAAAGAGGAGAACGTGAGCCTTCGCCAGACGCGTGGTGCGACGCATCAGGAGTCGCCTGTTACTGTGGATGAAGATCATGCGAGCGCGCATCAACCGCAGATCGTGTCGGCGACACGTGATGACAGTTTGAGCGAGCGACAGGCAGTTGTGAAGATCAAACATGCCATTCCCCCGCCGTTCAGCCCCCTGGAGAAGCACACCACGCTGAGTGAGTTGTTGTTTGCCATGGAACTATTCTTCAATGCCGGTGATGTCAACGACGATGAGATACGCGTCAAGTTGGCGGTGTCTTTATTACGTGAACCTGCATTAAGTTGGTGGAGACAGTACGTGACGTCACGAGGGACTCCGGCAGACCAGCAACAGGCGATGGACGGGGGGCAACGATTGGCTTCAACTTCTTCAGGATCCATGTTTGGTGTGGCCGAGATTCTTACCTGGCAACAGTGCGGTGCACTACTTCGCCGGCGCTTCGAGCATGTATCCGCATGCAAAAATGCTCGTGTGAAGCTGCACGAATGGTGTCAAGTGGGGTCTGTGGTGGAGTACACGCCATCTTTCCTTGCCATTTGCGATGAAGACTGCATTTCGAACACGTTACGGGAGTTATGAGTATACCCTTTTCAACTGACCATGAACAAAGTCTTCCCTCGCTACTGGACAAGTGTGTCATCGTCTACCTGGATGACATCCTGGTTTACAGCACCTCACGGGAACAACATTTGAAGGACCTGGAAGCAGTTTTTACCCTCTGCAATCAACACCGACTCATCACCGAGGGCTCTAAGTGCAAGTTCTTAAAAGAGGATTTGGACTTCCTTGGCCACGTCATCTCCACTGCAGGTTCGCAACCCAAAAAAATTGGATTAAAATCGACCCGAAGAAAATCTCCACGATTCGCAATTGCGAGCTGCCTACTAATGTCAAGGAGTTGCAGAGTTTTCTGGGGTTCGTCAACTACGTGCGCCATTTTGTCCCTAAAATGGCGGAGTCAACTGCCCTGCTGACCGATTTGCTGTAGAACGGAGTTTTTTTTTTAGTGGGGGGAGATGCAGCAAGCTGCGTTTGATCAACCGAAGTCTTTCCTCATGACACCTCGTGTTCTTCATATCGTCAAACCCGACCGCCCATACGAAATAGTTACGGACGCCAGTGACATAGCCGTTGGCGCGGTACTGTTACTGGACTTTAGCAAAGGCCAGCAGCCAATCGCCTACGACTCGCGAAAACTCCAATGCGCAGAACGGAATAACCCGGTCCACGAGAAGGAAATGCTCGAATATCTAGAATCCAATTTTCATTACCGCATCACCTAAAAAATGGGGGTAAAAAACATTGCCGATGCCCTTTCCCGCCCTACTGCCCATACAGCCACCGTACTAATCGCCCAAGCTAACCCGCTACTAATTGGACAGTTTACCCACAGCTACAACACTAACCTCCTTTTCACTTCTAACGGCCACCAGGCCCTGACCACTCAACAAGGACACTACCACCTAAAAGCTGGTACTGACCAAATTTGAGTTCCATCCTACCGACTGTTGCAGGAATTATTGATAGAGGAGGTTCACGACGCTAATTGCTCAGGACATTTCGGGGTTGATACAATATTGAAAATGCTCCAACGTCATTATTACTTGCCGAATGCGAGCCATGACGTGCAACAATATGTGGCGTCCTGTCCCACTTGCCAACTGATGAAATCCTCTCGCCAAAAGTCTGCTCGATTACTGCAACCGTTAGAACCGCCCACAACGCCCGGATACATGTGTCCATGAACTTTGTGACAGGGGTGCGGCCGGCGCATCCTAAGATGATGCTGTATTCGTGGTCGTTGATCGACTCACGAAAATGGCTCATTTCGCGCCATGCCGAATGACGATCACGCCCGAGCAAAATGCCAAGCTGTTCATATCAACCGACGTTCGCCTGTACGGAATCCCGAAGGCAATCATGAGCGATCGTGACCCTCGATTCACGTCCAAGTTCAGGATGAAAATGTAGGAACAGTACGGTACATGTCTCCATCTGTCCACGGCTTACCACCCACAGACCGACGATTAGACTGAACTGAAAAATCAGACCATGGAGCAGCTGATACGAACAACCTGTACTGACCCGACCCAATGGGAAGATTCCCTTCCTCTGATCGGGTTCGCGTATAACAACGCCCCTTCATCCACGACTTCCCAATCTCCGTTCTATGTTAATTACGGTCTAAACCCTACGACTCCCACTACACCCTTATTTGAGAGTCCCTCCCCACGGTCGCAACACTTCGCCAAGGACTTACAGACTGCACAGAAAAATGCTACCGAGGCCATTTCACAAGCCAACCTTACGGCCAAACGGTATGCGAACAGGCATCGACGGGATTTACCCCTGTCTCCTGAGCAGCTAGTCCTTCTGGACACCAAGAATTCAGGATTGGGTTTACCACATAAACTCCGCCAGAGATTCTGTGTGCCTTTCCGAATTGTTCGAATGGTGACATCTGTCACTGCCAAGTTACTACCGTAATCCCCCGGATATAGGCGCATAGGTGCTTATAGGAAATACCTAACAAAAGTGGCATGCGCTTGTAATCGAATAAATTTTATAAGCTTAGGGCTTATGAAATGGATTTTATGGAAAAAAAAATTGAGCATGTGAAAATGTATTTTTTTACATTTGCATTTTAGCACGTGTGTTTCAAAAGGGCACCATTCTGACAAAGCGCGAGAAGTTGGCGAACAAAGCTTCCGCCACCAGATCCACTCAGGAATGAGTGGTATTGCGAGCCAATCAGAGCCAACACACAACGAGATTCGCGCTTCTGGCTCGGGAGGCGCTCGGGAAGGACACAGCACAAACTCCGATATGGAAATCCCCTGTTTACTATACGTTTTGACAAAAATGTGATGCGCATAAAGGAAATACATTTTAAAAAATATGGGTGCGCTTATAATGAAAGAACGGATATAAATGCACTTGCACTCTATAAGCGCAATGGGCCAAATAAAGGGATGCGCCTATATCCGGGGGATTACGGTATTACCGGACGACTGGCGTATACACGATTCATTCCACGTTAGTCTCGTTTGACAGTTTGTTGCAAACACGACTGATCTCGACCGTCAACGACTCTACAATTCGATCAGACCCGTCCCAAAGCCAACAACTAAACCAAAACATATCCTCTCCCACCAAATCCGCCGAGACCAAGGTCAACAGGTTTTGGAATTTCTGGTTCGATGGGTTGACCGTACGTGCGACGACGACATGTGGGTCCCAGCTGCCACCCTCGACAACCACCCATTGGTGTAGGCCTATTTACACTATCAGGCTGGCCCAAACGTGGGTAGTCTCGTCTAGGAGGGGGGTGTCAACTTATACATATTAGCTATGTAGAAGTTATAGGCTAGACTGGGGTATGCTTCTAGTGAGTACAACCAACTAGTATTTGTTCTAGGTTTCTCCTTCTAGTTCATTATTCAGTTCTTGCTTTAACATGGTATCACGCGTAGGTTAGAATCCCCCACCTACCGCTTCCGCCCGTACCCTAGCTAGGCCCCGCCGCATCCCCCCTGGGCCCCGTCGCGCCTCCTAGCCCCGCCGCGCCCCTCCTGGGCCCCGCCGCACCTCCTAGCCCCGTCGCGCCCCTCCTGGGCCCCGTCGTGCCTCCTAGGCCGCGTCGCGCCCGCTAGGCCCCGTCGCGCCCTGCCTGGCCCCGTCGTGCCCGCCTAGCCCCGTTGTGCCCCTCCTGGGCCCCGTCGCGCCTCCTAGCCCCGTCGCGCCTCCTAGCCCTGTCGCGCCCCTCCTGGGCCCCCTCGTGCCTCCTAGGCCCCGTCGCGCCCTGCCTGGCCCCGTCGCGCCCGCCTGGCCTCGTCGTGTACCTCCTGGGCCCCGTCGCGCCTCCTAGCTCCATCGCGCCCCTCCTGGGCCCCGTCACGCCTCCTAGCCCCGTCGCGCCTCCTAGCCCGGTCACGCCCCTCCTGGGCCCCGTCGTGCCTCCTAGCCCCGTCGCGCCCCTCCTGGGCCCCGCCGCGCCTCCTAGCCCCGTCGCGCCCCTCCTGGGCCCCGTCGCGCCTCCTAGGCCCCGTCGCGCCAGCTCCGGCCCCATCGCTCCCTTCCTGGCCCCGTCGCGCTAGCTAGGCCCCGTCGCGCCCTGTCTGGCCCCGTCGCGCCCGCTTGGCCCCGTCGCGGCCTGCCTGGCCCCGTCACGCTAGCCTGGCCCCTCCGCGCCTGCCTGACCCCTCCACGCCTGCCTGGCCCTGCCGCGCCTGCCTGGCCCCGCCGCGCCTGCTTGGCCCCGTTGCGCCTGCCTGGCCCCTCCGCGCCCGCCTGGCCCCGCCGTGCCTGCCTGGCCCCTCTACGCCTGCCTGGCCCTGCCGCGCCTGCCTGGCCCCGCCGCGCCTGCGTGGCCCCTCTGCGCCTGCCTGGCCCCGCCGCGCCCGCCGGGCCCTGCCGCGCCTCCCTGGCCCTGCCGCGCCTACCTGGCCCCGCCGCGTCTGCCTGGCCTCTCCCACTGCCTGCCCGGACCCTCTTCGTGCCTGCTCGGCCTGCCGTGCCACCTCGAGCTCCGTCTACTCTGCTCGCCAGCGCCGGGGCGCCTCGCGGCCGCCGTGCTGGAGAGTGCTGCCGCCGTGTCCCTGCGTCGCTATGTCCCTGCGGAGCTGTGGAGCTGGACCGCTGACCCTGCACGATGGCTGACTTCGTGCTCCGACTGGACACCGAGGGCCATGCGGTTGACTTCGCCGCCTGGCTCTCCGATCTCCGCCGCCACCTTACAGGTCAGCGCCAGGATGGCCACTCTTTGGTTGTCCTGCTGACCCCTCCTCTGATGACCGTGAGACCTTCTCTACTGCTGCGCTTGCCTGTGCGGCCTGGGACTCTCGCGATGTAGTTGCTCAGGTTGCTATTAGCCATGCCCTCCCTGTGTCTGAGCGCTCGCGTTTTGCTACTCTTGAGACGGCCAAAGCCTACTTAGACGCCGTTATTGCTCGCTATTCCACACCCGCGTCTGCTTCTGCTGGACGCTTGCTCTTCCCGATGCTGTTCCCAGACCTTGCAGCCTTCCCTATCGTCGCAGACTTTGCCACTCACCTGCGTGCCCTAGAGACCCGCTATCGCACTGCCAGCACTGTAGCCCAGCTCACTGCGCCCCCCCCCCTTTTTTGCATGACGCTCTATTTTATTGCCATGCGCCTGCCAGACCGCCTCGCTAGTGCTCGCGATCACTTCCTTAGCCAGCACCCGGGTGACCTCACCCTCCCCGCCTTTGTCGACACCCTCACCGAAATCGACACTCGCCAGCGCACTATCGCTCAGTAGAGCGGTGCGCTGGCAGCCTCTATCTTTCACGGCTGTGCCCCTCCCAGTGCACGTGTACTGACGTTTCGGCTGCGGTCGCCACGACGACCCCTCTCACCGAGACGGCTGCTACGGTCCACCTGCAGCAGCGCTCGCGCCGCGGTGGCCGTGGTCGCCAGGGAGGTAGGGGTGGTGGCGCAGGTGGTGGTGGTCGTGGTGGTGGTGACGGTAGTCCGCCTGAGGGGACTACCACCGGTGGGCAGGAGCAGCAACCCCAGCCGCAGCAGGAGCAGCCCCAGCAGCAACCGCCGTCCCAGCAGCAGCCGCCGTCCTAGCAGCAGTCGCCGCAGTCGTGGGCCCGTCTCCCGCCTGGTTGGCCCGGCACCTCCGGAGGTAGTGGCCGTGGTGGCGGCCCGCGCAGCTCGGTGTCTACCGGCGGCTCCGGTGCTGTCACTTGCCAGTACCAGCTTCAGACCGGGCCTCTTCGCGGCACTCTATGTCCGGGACCCGAGACCCGGTGTCCGGCACTCGACGTTCCCCCCGGGACCCGGTGTCCGGTCTGTTTACCCTCGTCACCGCTTCCCCCCCGGTTGGTGCGTCCTCCCAGGTCGCTGCAGCTTGCTGGTCTCGGTCCCTCACTCACCCGTCCCTTCTCTGGCACCACCGCCTAGGTCACCCTGCTCTCCCACGTCTGCGTCACATAACCCTGCACTGTCTTGTCTTAGGCCTCCCTGCGTCGCTCCCTGCCCTTCCTCCCTCGACTGCGCCACCGTGCACGCCTTGCGTCGAGGGCCGGCTCCGCCGTGCTCCTCACTCCTCCTCGCTGCGCCCTGCTACTGCCCCCCTTCAGACCCTGCACCTGGACGTTTGGGGCCCTGCCCCCATCCCCGGACCGCGAGGTGAGCGCTACTTCCGTGTGCTCGTCGACGACTACACGCGCTATACCACGGTGTTTCCCCTGGAGCGGAAGGCTGACGTGCCCGACGTTTTTCTCCCGTGGGTTGTGGCTGCGCGTCTTCACCGCGGTCTCCCCGTGTTGTGTCTCCACTCTGACCATGGTGGCGAGTTCGCCTCTGGTTGGCTTGGACAATTCTGTCGTGCGGAGGGCATCACCCAGTCGTACATCTTGCCGGACTCGCCACAGCAAAATGGGGTTGCTGAGCGCCGCATCGGCTTGGTCATGGAGGTCGCCCGTACCTCCATGATTCATGCCGATGCCCCCCATTTTCTGTGGCCGTTCGCTGTTCGCTACGCTGCTCACCAGCTTAACTTGTGGCCACGCTCCCAGCGGCCGCAGATTTCGCCGACCCTCCTTTGGACCGGGTCCCCGGGTGCCGCGTCTGCGTTCCACGTCTGGGGCTGCCTTGCTCACGTTCGTGCCTCTGGCACGGACAAGCTTACTGCCCGCACTGTCCCCTGTGTCTTCCTCGGTTTCCCCCTGGACTCGTCTGACTGGCTTTTCTACCACCCGCCGTCTCAACGCTTCCTCCACTCTCGTGACGTAACCTTTGATGAGTCTGTCTCCTTCTACCGTCGCTTCCCTCACCGCGGTCTCCCGGTTGCCCCACCCCTGTTCCTTGCTCCCTCTCCCCCGGTAGCCCCTGCTCCCCTCCCGCCTCGCCCTGCCCCGTCTGGTGTCTCTCACGTCACTCCCCTCCCGTCGGTTGTCCCCGTTGAGAAGTCCGCTGACTCTGGTGGCACCCCCGGCCCGTCCTTGCCGCGTCCCCCTTCCCTGGTGTCTTCGCCTCCACTGTCGCAGTCGCCGCCTCCGCCGCAGCCACCGCCGCCGTCGCCGCCGCTGCCGTCGCCGCTGCTGCCGCTGCCGCTGCTTTCGCTGCCGCTCTTGGCCCCTGGGGGTGCTGGTGCGGAGGAGGGTGTTCGTCCTGCGGCTCCAGGGGGTGCCGCCGGTGTTGGAGGGGGTTCTCGCTCTCGGGGTGTTGGTTTAGGAGGTGCTGCTGTTGAGGGTTCCGCCGACAATCGTCCTACCTCTCCCCCACCGCCTGCTGACCTTACTGTCTACGGTCCTGTGTTCCCGCCGCCAGACTCGTCTCCGGCCCGTCTCCCTCCTCGTTCCCCTCTTGTGTCCCCTCCGCTGTCCCCTGACCCTACACCTCCGTCCCACGTTTGGTCTCACCGTCCCTCCCGTGCTCGTCTCGTCTCTCCTGTCCTGCGCTCCCACCCTATGTTGCTCCGTTCCCGCTCGTCTCGTCCTCCCCTCCTCCCGTCCCCTCCTCCTTCGTCCCTTGCTGTTGCACCTCCTCCGTTCTCTGACTACCTCCGTGCCGCTCGTCCCCTTGTCCCTCGGGTCCTTGCCTCTATTGTTACCGACCCTTCTGCTCCTGTCCCGCGCCTTGACGTGCTTGTCACTGCTATCGCTGACTTCGCCTCTACCCGCCGCCTTGACTACGCTACCGCTCTGGTCTCTAACCCTGCCCGTCGTCCGTCCGTCGGGGGTGCTCCTGCCCTTGGCAGTGACGTCCTAGAGGACAGGCAGTACGAGCTTGCTTTCCTTTCCGAGGCTGCTCCCCATCTCTGCTCCATGCTGTTAGTCCCTGAGGGTGACCCAGACGCCTTCGACATCCCGACCCCTCGCACCTACGCTGAGGCAACCTCGGGACCTTGGGCCTCTCTGTGGATAGCTGCCATGGAGCAGGAGATGGCATCTTGGAGGTCCACCGGCACTTACGTCGACGCAGTTCCCCCGCCTGGGGTGAACGTAGTCGATGGTCGGTGGCTCTTCAAGGTGAAGCGCCCCCCTGGAGAGCCGCCTGTCTTCAAGGCGCGCTACGTGGCCAGAGGCTTCAGTCAGCGCGAGGGGGTTGACTTCTTCCAGACCTTCGCCCCGACCCCGAAGATGACCACTCTTCGGGCGCTGCTACACGTAGCAGCACAGCGCGACTACGAGCTTCACTCCCTCGACTTTTCTACTGCCTTTCTTCAGGGCAGCCTACACGAGCAGGTCTACCTGCGCCGGCCACAGGGCTTCACTGGTACCTTCCCCCCTGGGACCCAGTGGCTTCTCATGCGCCCGGTCTACGGCCTGCGCCAGGCTCCCCGCGAGTGGCACGACACGCTGCGTGCCACGTTAGCAGACCTGCAGTTCTTTCCGTCCTCTGCTGACCCCTCACTGTTTGTGCGTTCCAGCCAGACTCCGTTCTACATCCTTGTCTATGTAGATGACCTAGTCTTCGCTAATGCTAACAGGGACGCACTGGCCTCTGTGAAGGTCGAGTTGCTGAAGAGACACACCTGCACTGACCTTGGAGAGCTGCGTCGCTATCTTGGCCTGCAGATCTCTAGGGACAGAGCAGCATGCACCATCACTCTTACACAGTCACACTTGGTGCGTCAGGTCCTTCAGAGGTTCGGTCTTCAGTTCTCCTCCGCACAGCCCACACCTCTACCTGTAGACCATGGGCTCTCCGCTCCCGTTCCTGAGGAGCCAGTAGAGCCCAGTGGCCCCTACGCAGAGCTGGTGGGTTGCCTCATGTACCTGATGACTTGCACTTGCCCAGATCTCGCATACCCTCTCAGCATCCTGGCTCGCTTTGTGGCTACAGGCAGACACCGACCTCAGCACTGGTCTGGCGCTAAGAGGGTTTTGCGTTATCTTGCTAGTACATCGGGCATGGGGTTAGTGCTAGGAGGACGCAGGCCAGTGGTCCTTAGTGGGCACACAGACGCTTCTTGGGCAGACGACTCTGAGACGCTCAGGTCATCGCAGGGCTACTGTTTTAGCCTTGGTTCGGGTGCTATCTCTTGGAGATCCACTCGCTCGTCGTCTGTGGCTCAGTCCTGCTGTGAGGCTGAGATCTATGCTGGTGCCATGGCGGCACAGGAGCTCCGCTGGCTGACCTTCTTGCTCACTGACTTAGGTGAGCGGCCTAGCTCTGCCCCGGTCTTGTACGCTGACAACAGGGCCATGATACTCCTGTGTCAGGAGCCTCGGCTTGAGGGCAGAGCGAAGCATATCCAGCTGCGGTACTCCCTTGTGCGCGAGTTACAGCAGCACCGCCAGGCCCGCGTAGTTCACTTGGCCTCAGGTGCCAACACAGCTGATATCTTTACTAAGGCGCTTGCGCCTAATTGTCATCAGCGGCACTGTGTACAGCTTGGTCTTGTTCCTGTAGCTACTCACCTGTTAGGATCCTGATTGTGTACTCTCTATTATATATACCTGTCAGACTGGCCTTGTGGCCTTACCTCCAGTGGCTGGACTAGTAGTGCCGCCGTGGCTTGCTTTAGTCTTGTTTGTACTCTTGCTGACTGGTCTCCAGACCCCTGCCTTAGTGGTTGGACTAGTAGTGCCACCCTGAGCTGTTTGTTTCTTGCTTAGCTTCACCCCTTGTCTAGCCTAGGGGGTGTGTCAACTTGTACATATTATCTATGTAGAAGTTATAGGCTAGACTGGGGTATGCTTCTAGTGAGTACAACCAACTAGTATTTGTTCTAGGTTTCTCCTTCTAGTTCATTATTCAGTTCTTACTTTAACAGGGGGAAGGTGTAAGGAAATCCATTTTCCTTATCGGGCCTCGCTAACATCGAGTACAACCCTGACTTTCGGAAGTCTAGGCTCGGCCCGAAAATTCAGGTTCGAACTACGTTCGAGACCCCAAGCCTACACACGACGTCGTGCCAACACTTCCCAGTCCCGAGGCGCCCCAAACCACCTCGCGTGTGTTTCGTGGCTTTTTTCGAAGCTCGCTTGCTAGGCTAGTTGTGCTTGTATTTATCCCCGTGCTTCATTTGTACTCGACACACTTTAATCACAACTCACTATTGCATTACTCTACTCCTATTCGAAGGTTATCGTAACATTGTACCACATTCTACTATCATGTCGACATTCGATTCCGCGCTACTCTGGTTGTTATGAATGGAACTGCCGAGTAGCGCGGAGGGCAATGGAGAAACTGTGAACGAGTGAAATGACAATAAAATGAATAACACAATATATAGGAAGCTATCAGAATGAGAGAAGTGAATGATGACTAGTGGGAGAGTACAGATAGATATACCTAAGTATTGTACCCTCTAAGAGGTGACCCTATACAGTCTATGCAAACATAACTAATACACATGTTTGACACACCCCCTAGACTGCATAGAGAATGTCCTAAACAAGCAGCTCAGGGCGGCACTACTAGTCCAACCTCTGAGACAAGGGTCTAAAAGACCAGTCAGAAGGAGTACCGACAAGGCAAGAACAAGATCAGGGCGGCACTACTAGTCCAGCCACTAGGGAGAGACACAAGTCCAGTCTGAGTATACATATAAAGGGCAGTACAAGGTCAAGGCCCTAGCAAGTGAGAGGCAACAGGACTAGACCAAGCTGTATGCAGTGCCGCTGATGATTTTTAGCGCAAGCGCCTTCGTAAAGATATCAGCTGTGTTGGCACCTGAGGCAAGTGTACTACGCGAGCCTGGCGTCGCTGCTGTAGCTCGCGCAGGAGGAAGTATCGCAGCTGAATATGCTTCGCTCTGCCCTCGAGTCGAGGCTCCTGACACAGGAGGATCATGGCCCTGTTGTCAACGAACAGGACTGAGGCAGAGCTAGGCCGCTCACCTAAGTCAGTGAGCAAGAAGGTCAGCCAGCGGAGCTCCTGTGCCGCCATGGCACCAGCGTAGATCTCAGCCTCACAGCTGGACTGCGCAACAGACGAGGAGCGGGGTAGCTCTCCACGAGACGGCACCTGAGCCCAAGGCTGAAGCAGTAGCCCTGGGTAGACCTGAGTGTCTCGGCGTCCGTCTGCCCACGAAGCGTCGGTGTGTCCAGTAAGGACCACTGGCCCACGTCCTCCTAGCACTAACCCCATGCCCGATGTACTAGCAAGATAACGCAAAACCCTCTTAGCGGCAGACTAGTGCTGCGGTCGGTGTCTGCCTGTAGCCACAAAGCGAGCCAGGATGCTGAGAGGGTATGCGGGATCTGGGCGAGTGCAAGTCATCAGGTACATGAGGCAACCCACCAGCTCTGCGTAGGGGCCGCTGGGCTCAACCGACTCCTCAGACACTGGAGCGGAGAGCCTGTGGTCTACAGGCAGAGGGGTGGGCTGTGCAGAGGAGAATTGAAGGCTGAACCTCTGAAGGACCTGGCGCACCAAGTGTGACTGAGTCAGGGTGATGGTGCGCGATGCTCTGTCCCTGGAGATCTGCAAGCCAACGGTAACAGCGCAGTTCTCCAAGGTCAGTGCACGTGTGTCTCTTCAGCAAGCTCTGCCTTCACGGAGGCCAGTGCGTCCCTGTCTGCTGTGGCAAAGACCAGGTCGTCAACGTAAACAAGGATGTAGAACAGGAGTCTGGCCAGCACTGAACGAAGAGTGAGGGGTCTGCGGAAGACAGAAAGAACTGTAGGTTAGCAAGCGTAGCACGGGAGAGTGTCGTGCCACTCCGGGGAGCCTGGCGCAGGCCGTAGACGGGGCACCGCAGGAGCCACTGGGTCCCAGGGGGAAGGTGCCAGTAAAGCCCTGAGGGCGACCGCAAGTAGACCTGCTCGTGGTAGGCTGCCCTGAAGGAAGGCAGTGGAGAAGTCGAGGGAGTGAAGCTCGTAGTCACGCTGAGCAGCTAGGTGTAACAGAACCCGAAGAGTAGTCATCTTCGGGGTCGGAGCGAAGGTCTGGAAGAAGTCCACCCCCTCACGCTGACTGAAGCCTCTAGCCACGTAGCGCGCCTTGAACACAGGCGGCTCTCCAGGAGGGCGCTTCACCTTGAAGAGCCAGCGGCCATCGACTACGTTCACCCCAGGCGGGGGAACTGCGTCGACGAAGGTGCCGGTGGATCTCCAAGATGCCATCTCCTGCTCCATGGCAGCTATCCACTGCGAGGCCCAAGGTCCCGAGGTCGCCTCAGCGTAAGTGCGAGGGGTCGGGATGTCGAAAGCGTCTGGGTCACCCTCAGGGACTAGCAGCATGGAACAGAGATGGGGAGCAGCCTCGGACAGGAAAGCAAGCTCGAACTGGCGGTCCTCCAGGACGTCACTGCCAAGGGCAGGAGCACCCCCGACAGACGGAGGACAGGCAGGGTCAGAGACCAGAGCGTGGCGTAGTCAAGGCGGCGGGTAGAGGCGAAGTCAGCGACAGCAGCGACAAGAGCGTCAAGGCACGAGACCGGAACAGACGGGTCGGTAACGAGAGAGGCAAGGACCCGAGGAACAAGAGGACGAGCGGCACGAAGGTAGTCAGACAGCGGGGGGGGTGCAACAACAAGGGAGGACGGAGGAGGCGACGGCAGAAGGGGAGGACGAGACGCGTGGGAACGAAGCAACATAGGGTGGGAGCGCAAGACAGGCGAGGCAGGACGAGCACGGGAGGGACGGTGAGACCAGACGTGCGACGGAGGAGTCGGGTCAGGAGACAGGGGAGGGGACACAGGAGGGGAACGAGGGGGAAGACGGGCCGGGGACGAGTCCGGCGGAGGGAACACAGGGCCGTAGACGGAAGAGGAGGAGACGGTCGGAGAGGAACAGCGCAGGGTCGGGGACGGAAGGCCGAGCAGGCGAAGGGCTGACACCGGCGGGGACTGCTGCTGCGGCGGCACAACGGCGACACCTGGACCGCAAGCTGCTCCTCGGCTACCACCGGCACACTCCACACCAGCACCCCCAGAGGGACCACCCCAGGGCGACCGGGACGAGCACCCCCAGAGTCAGCGAACGGGTGCTGACGCGGCGGCGGCGGCGGCAGCGACAACGACGGCTGCAGCGGCGGCAGAGGCGGTGGAGGAGGGGACTGGGGAGGGGACGCCGGGGAGGGGCGGCCGGCGAGGACTGCGCAGGAGGGCCACCAGAGTCAGAAGACTCCTCAACCGGGTCCACGACGGAAGGGGGGTGACGTGGGACACACCAGAGGGGGCAGGACGGGGAGGAGGAGGAGGAGGGGCAGGGACTACCGGGGAAGGAGTGACCAGGAACAGGGGGGGGTAACCGGGGGACCACGGTGGGGGAAGCGACGGTAGTAGGAGACGGACTCGTCAAAGGTGACGTCGCGAGAGTGAAAGAAGCGGTGAGACGGCGGGTGGTAAAAGTGCCAGTCGGACGCGTCAAGGGGAAAACCGAGGAAGACGCAGGGAAGGGTGCGGGCAGTGAGCTTGTCCGTGCCGGAGGCACGGACGTGAGCAAGGCAGCCCCAGACGTGGAACGCAGACGCGTCACCAGGAGACCCAGTCCAAAGACGGGTCGGCGAAACCTGCGGCTGCTGAGGGTGCGGCCACAAGTTAAGCTGGTGAGAAGCGTAGCGCACAGCGAACGGCCACAGAAAATGGGGTGCACCGGCATGGATCATGGAGGTGCGAGCCACCTCCATGACCAAACCGATGCGTCGCTCAGCGACCCCATTCTGCTGTGGGGAGTCCGGTAGGGTGAACGTCTGGGTGATGCCCTCCGCACGACAAAAGCGACCAAGGACACCTGAGGCAAACTCGCCACCACGGTCGAGTGAAGACGCAAGACAGGGAGACCGCGGTGGACACGCGCAGAGACAAGCCAGGGGATGAGAGCGCCAGGCACGTCGGCCTTGCGCTCCAGGGGAAAGACTGTGGTGTAACGAGTGAAGTCGTCGACAAGCACAAGGAAGTAGCGCTCTCGACGCGGCCCAGGGACGGGGGCGGGGCCCCAGACGTCCAGGTGCAGGGTCTGCAGCGGCGCGGCGGTAGGGGGAAACGAGGAGGAGTGAGGGGCACGGCGAAGCCGACCCTCGACACAAGGCGTGCAAGGTGGGGCTGGGGAGGAGGGAAACGCGGGGAGAGAACCTGGGAGACCAAGGACAAGACCGTGCTGGGACATGTGACGCAGACGCGGGAGCGCAGGGTGACCTAGGCGGTGGTGCCAAAGGAGAGTCGGGTGAGTGAGGGACCGACAGGAGCAGGCAGCAGCAACCTGGGTGAGCGCTCCAGCCGGGGGGGTCACGGTGTCCAGAGTGAACAGGCCGGACACCGGGTCCCGGGGGAACGTGGACAGGGGGGCACCAGTGGCGGCCTCGGTACAGACAGCATACCGCTCGTGACCAGGGAACGTAGTGGTGACGCCAAGGTCCTGGAGGCAGCCGACACCAACTAGGTTCCTGGAGAACGAGGGGATATGCAGACCTGTGAGAGTGCCCGAAGGAACCGCCGGACAGGGAAGGGTGGTGGAACTGCGGGCGACTACCGGACCGCCGGAGGGGTCAGCAAGAGAAACGGCAGCAGGAACAGGAAGCGGCGTCAGGGTGGTGAGTCGCGGAAGAAACACCGGAAGCGCCAGAGTCCAAGGTGAAGGAAAGCGAAGCAGAGGCGTCTGGCGACGGAACGACGGCGGAAGCACCAAGACTACACAAAGCAGGGGATCCTACGCCTGACG